AGCCAATTGTTGCTCCAATCATCTATTTTATAGATGACTGGAGCAACAACTTCGGCTGTCAGTAAATAGCACTCACGATGACACAAAAGACAGTATAAAGCTCGAGTTGTGGATCCTAGGGCTAGTTGAAACATTCTACGATTGCTAACCTCTTTGACATTGCACGAAATGTGGCCACTGAGAGCATCGTGTAGATTTCTGATGAAATAGTCGCGATAATCGTCTGGTAACGACATGAAAGTTCCTCCCATTACAATAAATTCAACCTGCAACATTCACTCGACTCATGCACTTTGTGATCTCAGCTAAGCGAATCAAAGTGAGGAAAATGCAAGAAGATCGTACTGCAGCATGTTCTGCAACAAATCTGTTATTCAGCTAAGCTAACTACCTGAGTTCAATGCTTCCAGACAAGATCTAGTTGATATTTGAAGATAAAAGTCATATTAGTGCCACTGCTCTAGCTAACGAATACTTGAATTTGGGAGTAACAGTGATGGCAACAGTGTCATACCTTGTCAATAGAGTGGCCAAGTTGCATTAGTTGAGAGACTCTTCCCCTTGTCTGAAGGTAAGGATCATATCTAGAATTAAGAGTTCAACAATAACTGAAATATTCTTTATAAAAGTAGACAGGACAAAAAATACCTTGCTCTTATAGCACGCATACTTGTCGGTTCGTAACCAGTGTAGCTCTGTGTGGAGTACTCGAAATCAGAGTCTGGACCCCCAGGACAATATACGCAAACGTTTCCCGTGAAGTTAATGTGAGGGCAACGGTGTGGTTTAGACATCACCGCCACTACAGCGATACCAGAAGCTGTACGTACTGGTTTCGCCTTCAATTTCGGAAGCAAGGCATCCTGGAAGCAATAAACTGTTTGTAAACTGCTCCTAGTCAACTCTTATTGGCAGAGCGAATGCCCCTCTCCCATATTTAGGTACTACTGATCTCAAGTGGTAAGATTAATGCACAGCTTAACAAAGAGCGACAAGATCATGAGAGTTGCTGTATTGAGTGCAAGGCGCTCTCCAATCCCGTCGCCATTCCTGCTTGGTGGTGGTGGCTGACGATGACTGTTCATGAATCCACTTTTTCATATTCAGCGTTTCAAATGTTCAAATGAGGCACTGCGATTTTTCCGAACTCGCGAATGGCGCGGAACCCGCGACGGATCGCGGACTCTCACACCAGCCTACACCTTCTGATTGTGAGAGGCGTAGTAAAACATCTTGCAAAAGGGCAAGGTGGGGCATGATGAGAAAACAATCGCGGCCTTTTTTATATTGGATTGTAAGGCAATATCGTAGTTTTTTTTTCAAATGTGTATAATTCAACCAATATAATCAAGGATATCCCAGGAAAACGTATCGATCAGCCTTTCCCTCTCTACAGTAGAATGTTTATCGTCTGTTCAATATTAGAAATGTACCCATAGTGCATGCAAGTTGAAATATCCGGTGGCAGAAATCGGCATTTCGACAGCCGCTATTCTCTGCCAGAACGGAAATTATTTAGAAACCCTCGAACCTTACTCCAATCGATTCTACCTTTTTCGCTCAGTTATGAATCATATTCATGCCGTGCAAATTGAGAATAATGAGAACCTCGTTAACGGATCCTACGTTTTTTTCAGTTCAAATTTAAATCCTTTTCAAGCAACCGGACCCACATATATCGACCTCTGTCAGCATCCTCTGACATCCTTTGAAACTCCATCCACTACTCCTTTGAAAAGGCTTTTGGCTATTCTTTCAGACGGTTTTTCCCCAATGCTAAGCTTCAATATTGATAACATTGGATAAAAGGCATTGTAATTGGGGAATTAGCATGTCATTCTTCGTCTAAAATAAAATGGGACAAATTTATGTATTCATTTATTTACGCTCAAGGGCGTGCCACGACCAACCAAACAAAACAAAAACGGTCTCGGCGCGAGACTCACAAAATTCAGCCCTGGCCAGCACATAATTTTTCTGAGATTTATCGTTGTAGCATAAGTGAGGGCAATCTACCACATAGCTTTAGCCTCAATCTTTTACCTCTCACCTAAAATACAAAAGCGAAGAGGAGGAAGTGGCGGTTATTCGTGTTCTATACATCTAAGCTTATTTGAGATTTTCTAAAGCTTGCCCAGAAATCTAGTTGAAACGAGTCACTAGATTCACTTGAAGTCAATCAGTAAAAAGACGAAGCATTAGAGACGGGCAAGGTCACAGATGTTTCTGCTAAGTCTTATAGCTATTGGCATAGATACGCTTGGAGACGCTTGTCACAACTAAAAAAGAGGATGGTTCTGTGGCATACACGCTCCTGTGTAATGTCTTCGGAAAACAAATGAAAACATTCCAAAACGAAAAGGGAAACAAAAACAAAAACGGAAACATACCTTGAATTCATTCGGGACCCCAGCAATAATGTCAACCAGCTTGGGCTGAGAACTGAGACCGTACTTCTGAGCAACCTTTAACGATTACACGTTGGTCCGATTTTTAAATTAAACTTCAATCAATTGTTTTACCATAGAACAACACTGCAGCATACAAATATCATACTTGTAGGTTTACTAAGCGATGAATGCCTTTAGAAACACCATTGAGCCTAAATGCAACCGCAGTGAACTTGAGCTCAATCCAGTAGGTTATACTTTAACGCAAGCGTTTTAAACCAGAGCAGTTCAATGATTTCACTAGGCGCCACTAAGCATGAAAATCTTTCAGGACATTCGTTCTGGACTTTCCAAGACGTTTATTGCATGTTATAGGGAAATGTGCGTGGAGCATGAAACTGATGATCATTTTTCTGAGCGGCCTGGGATTGCCAGAAAAAGGGCAGAAAATTTCCCTTGAGAAGTGAAACTTTTCCATTTTTAATAAACTCTACAGCATTTGTAGCGTTGAATAGTTGCATTTTGAAGTTTTTTGTTCACTGAATAAGTTTAGACATATATGAGCCCAAAAAAGTGGAAATCAGAGAAACGCAAAAATTTGTTTCAGTGGGGATCGAACCATAAACGGTGCTAAGTGGGTTGGGCGGACCACGCGGCGGCGCGGCGCTCTGCTCACCTGGCGCTTTCTTGAGCGAGATAGTGTAAACTCAAACAACATTAGCTTTTTCACGCATGTCAAGTGACAGAGTGCCGCGCCGCCGCGTGGTCCCCCCCCAACCCACTTAGCACCCCATAAGCCATGCTTTCGACATGATTTTTACCATTCCCAGAGCCTCCTCCTCGGTAAAATAATCCTCGGTTTTATGCTCTCTGGGCGTGTCTCTATAACACGCAAAAAACCGTTTTGAAAAAGTACTTCATGTCTCGAAAGACTTTCCTGGTACGGGGTTTCACTCCATGCTTTCTAATGCTGAAATGCAAAAACAATTAGCAGGCAGTTGTACGCTAGACGACGCACCATAAGGGCGCATGCATAGTCGATCGTCCGACAGCAACGACGTAAGACCGCCGTCACACTCGGCGACGGACAAGCGATGGAGCGATCGCGCCGCTCCATCGCTTGTCCGTCGCCGAGTGTGACGGCGGTCTAATGGTCGCATAGCGTTGGATACGTATCGATGTCGAATACTTAGGCAAAACTGACAATCGATACGCATCTAATGCTGTGCGACAGTTAGGCCGATGTCATAGTTTGCGAATCGAGCGATTCGCTAGCGAATCGCTGGATCCGAGCGTTGCGCCAGCGAATCGAACGTTGCACCAGCGAATCGAACTTTGCGCCAGCGAGTCGAACGATGTACCAGCGAGTCGAACTAGGTACCAGCGACTCAATAGTGGCGGGACCCAACGTTCAAAGGAAGCCCGCCACTTTCAAACAGTGTCCACTGTCAGTGACACTGTTTGAAAGTGGCGGGCTTCCTTTGAACGTTGGGTCCCGCCACTATTGAGTCGCTGGTACCTAGTTCGACTCGCTGGTACATCGTTCGATTCGCTGGTGCAACGTTCGATTCGCTGGCGCATTCGCTAGCGAATCGCTCGATTCGCAAACTATGACATCGGCCTTACGATCGTTGCTGTCGGATGACCGACTATGCATGCGCCCTAAGGATAAGAGAATGACTGGTCATAGTCAAAAAATAGGAAGAAAGCGTTGTACTAATGGAAAAATTACAACGGATTTACGTTACAATTCAACTATTATAACTCCATAATCCAAAGGATATGTCAAAACAAAACTATGGTGGTACTTCACCACCCAGGTAATAAACACGACTTTCAGCAATAGCGTCTTTGGAACTATTTCATTCATTTTTTACAACACCTGTCATCATCAAATTCGTTATAAACTTCTACATAAAAGAGTAATTAGCGGTGTGCTTTCGAGGCAGGGTCAACCCTACGTTGGTACAAGTACCAACGGGGGGGGGTCGTACTTGGTTTAGCTTGGAGGGGGGTCGTACCCACTTTAGTCGCTCGAAATCACGTGTGGGATTGAGGTGAAACTAAGATAGGACCGACCCTGTTTCGAGGGCGGAGGGCAGGGCGCAGGGCCAAATGGCTCCATTTCGGAGCGACTGTGCAGGCGCATAGAACTATAATAATTGGATAAGACAGAAAATACTAACCAAGCACTTGAGCCGATTCAAGTTCACGTCCTTATGTTCTCGATGAGCTTCCACAAGATGGGCGACAATTTCGTTCACAGTCAATGCCATTGCCTCGCGCTGCGAACGCTGTACGTTCGAGCCGGTCATTTCGCCTAAACTGTTGCAAGAAACTGGAACTCAGAACTTGATACATTCAAGAGCATTTCCGCGAAACGAAGAAGCTGAACCAAAGCGATCGACGAAAAGACAAGAGCTTAACAACGATGATAAAAAAAACTTTTCGTGCTCAAGATTAGTTGAGGGTGAAGGGGGGGGGGGGCGATGGCGCGGCGCTCTGTTCGTCTGCTCCTCCAAGGCTTAGTCCACAGGGACAGTTACTCTTTCGCCGCTATGTGGCAGTTTCAAAATACGGCCATTTGAGAGCATTTCCGTGAAACGAAGAAGCTGAAAGATGATGACTAAGCCTTGGTAGAGCAGACGAATACAGCGCCGCGCCATCGCATGCCCCCCACCCCGAACCCGAGCTTCACCTAGTTGAGCAAGGGTCCTTCAAATACAGAGCACTCAGACATTCGAAACCGTGGTAAGGATTTCCAACTTCATGCTCAATTCGTCCTCGGTTCAATACAAGTGGGACGGACACGCCGATTTTTTGAATACGGTAGGCGCGTAATGTGTGTATGCAAGGACTGGTGCCCAATGATACGACGAGACGAAATGCTATGAAGTAGGTAACTCACACATTCCAGCTTTTCACGCATGCCAAGTTGCTACCCTCACCCTCCCCCATTCCCTAAATTGACTACACTCCCCGTAGCTCACGAATTTTCTCCCCTCTCGGGAGATCGTGCACCGGGCAGAGTTTCCACGTGCATACATTTCGCGCCCACCAAGAAACCGCGGCCCGTCCCACTTTCATTGCACCCCTTCGACTCCTTCTAATTAAGAAAGGAAAAGCCTTTATTACCGAAAACATTGGAACGGTTTCTTCCTCAGACGAACCTTATTATTTCGTCAATCCCCGGAGCTCATCAGTGAGTTGGGATTGGCGAAATAAAGACACAGGGGAAAGACGAATAAACCTTGAACTGACGTACAAATTTATGCCAAAGCCAAAGCAATGGAAATTATATCACCCGGAATTTCATGTT